ATAGATCTTCCCTAAGCATTATTAATATTTTATTTTTACTGATTACCATTTTTCCTTTTAGGGTTATGTCCGAACGATTGCAAATAGAAGCAAAAAAATTATAAGTCAATTAACACAGTTGTTGGACAAGGCCATCTGAGTGGTATGGAGAAAATTTTAAAGCGGTTAGTTTTAATAATTGATTATTTCGTACATGTTAATTCATATAAATGTCTTTACTTATCTAAAATCCTAAATTTAAGTCCGTAACACCATCTTTTTCTGTGAGTGTATATGGAAATTGAAGTTTAGGGTGTTATGAAGTTATAAATTGTTACAATTCTCAATTTGAGCTTTTGGTTTGCCCAGAATGAATTTTTGAAATTTGCCGCGCGTTCTAGACTTACACAAACAGTAGCTTTTGGATTGATTTTTTTCGGTTTTCGGCTAGTTATTGATTCAACCAAATAAGGGTTTTGTAGTATGTCGAAAGAGCTTTCTTTGGATTCTAAATTTGCTTAAATCGGAGTTCGTGAGAGGAATTTACGGCTTGAGCAAATTTGTCACGCAAGCTAAGTGTAACAGACAGCAATTGTATCCACTTTGGGCGAGCTTGCTGTTGGCACGTAGGTGTCGTTTTATCAACAAATGAGCGTAATTTTGTTGAGTCATTCGCTAGAATATCGATTTACTCGATTTTTTATACCGTTTTTCGATTAATTGTTAGGTATTCAAGTGCATCGGCTCGAGTAACTACTAAAGTTGATTTTTTCGGCTTTTTCAGATGAGTGATACTATTTCTTCTTTGAATTTGTAAGCTTATGTTTAGAAAATGATTTGTTATAGATATCTTATCATATGAGAAATGGCATTTTGGTTGTATAAAACTAGATCGCGCATTTACTACCATTTTGTGTATTTAAAATGGAAGATTATCTTTGGTTTCAATTTGAATTTATTTAATGTAAATAGGTTTGTGAAACCTTTTCAGAAAGACTCATGAGAAGTTCTTCACTTTGAATGTTGTTTTTGAAGGTTTATATACTGGTTTGTGAAATGGTTTATGAAATGATTTTTAGATTTGGTTTTGTGGATTGTGGATGATATCGTTGTGGATAAGTATTTGATGCTCAGTATCTCTATGAACCCAAGGGTTGTGGGTATGCACATACTAGTTTAGGATATCCTTGTGGGCCGAGCCACCGGCTTATAATAGTTTGAGACCTTGTCAAGGGGGGAATCTTGGTCGCATTTTCACATGACGTTATCGGTGATCATAGTTAGATTTCTAAGCATGAGATTGGCTAATAAAATGGACCGTTGGCGTGTTGGTGTGTGTTTTTCGACAAGATTAACCAATAGAATGGACCATTTATTTCTTATTTGATATTATTGTTTGAAATGGGCAATCATATTGTGAAAATGTTATGTTAAAGTAGTATATAACGTATTTTGACCTTAAAGTTTGTTATATGCCGAAGTTGGGTTAATTGAGCTTTCGTTTGATCATATAACTATGTGCATAGTGAATGCTCAATTTACTTATAAATAATGTATTAATCACTGAGCCGTGGTAGCTCATTCCTCTCATCTTACTTGTTTTTCAATTTCTTCAGCGAACCGTAAGTAGGGTACGAGAGCTTCGGTAGCGAGGAGGACCTTTTTTTTGTTAGTAGGAACTTTTTGGTGCGAGTTATATATAGTTGTGGAGCTTAAGTGTTAGCTTGTTGCTGGTTATGTATTTAGCCTTTTGATGGATTGTAGATAACTTTGATATTGTAACCAGATAAACTTTTATTGGATGACCGTGTCATGCCCTTGTTCTTCTTGAATTAGAAGTGTGATAAATATCATGACAATGAAACTTTACAAACTACATATTGAGTCTTAATAAGAACTGCTCGACATATTATACCACTCAAGATTCTTAAAAGCTTATGAAAATGGTCAACATCTTTGAATAGACAATGGAGGAAGAAGGGAAGTTTGAAGCCGAAGTTGCCAAGGTGCAAGCATGGTGGAACTCCGACAGGTTCAAACTAACCCGGCGACCCTACACCACTAGAGATGTCGTGGCACTACGGGGCAACCTGAGACAAAGCCATGGTTCGAATAAGATGGCGAAGAAGCTCTGGAGAACTCTAAAGACCCACCAAGCCAACGACACGGCCTCTAGGACTTTCAGCGCGCTCAACCCCGTGCAAGTGACGATGATGGCCAAGCACTTGGACACGATCTACGTCTCTGGTTGGCAGTGCTCGTCGACCCACACCTCCACCAGCGAACCGAGGCCAGACCTCGCTGACTATCTCTATGACACCGTTCCCAACAAGGTCGAACACTTTTTCTTTGCTCAACAATACCATGATCGTAGGCAGAGAGAGGCGCGGATAAGCATGAGCTGAGAGGAGAGGCCCAGGACCCCATACGTTGACTATCTCAAGCCGATCATAGCCGATGGCAACACTGGATTTGGTGGCACGACAGCGACTGTCAAGCTGTGCAAGCTTTTTGTTGAGCGCGGTGCAGCTAGAGTCCACCTTGAAGACCAAGCCTCAGTGACCAAGAAATGTGGTCACATGGCTGGTAAAGTGCTCGTTGCAGTGAGCGAACACATCAACTAGCACGTGGCTGCGAGGTTGAAGTTCGATGTTATGGGAGTAGAGATTGTCCTGGTCGCGAGAACCGATGCAGTTGCAGCGAATTTGATCCAGACCATTGTGGACACTAGAGATCACCAATTCATATTGGGTGCCACCAACCCGAGCCTCCGAGGGAAGAGTTTGGCTTCACTTTTGGCAGAAGCAATGGCAGCCAGTAAAACTGGCCACGTGCTTCAAGCCCTCAAGGATAATTGGCTAGCCATGGCACAACTCAAGACATTTTCTGAATGCGTCACAAACTCAATCAAGAACATGAATGCCGGGGAGGACGAGAAGAGGAGGAGGCTAAACGAGTGGATGAACCACTCTAGCTTCAACAAGTGCCTCTAGCAAGGCTGTGAGATAGCAGAGCGACTGGTGCTCAAGAATCTCTTATGGAATTGGGACTTGCCTAGGACCCTGGAAGGATTCTACAGGTTCAAGGGCTCAGTTATGGCGGCAATAATCCGAGGATGGGCTTTCGTGCCACACTGCGATCTCATTTGGATGGAGACTTCAAGCCCCAACCTAGTGGAGTGCACAAAATTCGCTGAGGGCGTGAAGTCAATGCAGCTGGAGATCATGTTGGCGTACAGTCTCTATCCCTCGTTTAACTGGGACTCTTCACGAATGACAGACAAGCAAATGAGAGAATTTATCCCAAGGATTGCCAAATTAGGATTTTGCTGGCAGTTCACACTAGCTGGCTTCCATGCCGACAGCGCTGGAGATCGACATGTTTGCCAAGGATTTCACAAGGAGAGGAATCCTGGTGTATGGGGAGAGGATTCAGAGAGAGGAGAGGAACAATGGAGTGGACACACTGGCTCATCAGAAGTGGTCTGGTGCTAATTATTATGATAGGTACCTCAAGACTCCTCCACAGCTGTTATGGGCGAAGGCAAGATGAACACCTTTTAACTCCATTATCTCTGCATCCTAAAATAAAGCGCGTTTAACAATTTAATTTGGTTTGGTTCACATGACTGTCATTTCTCATGCTGATAAGAAATTTTGTGGCATGCAGGGTTGACTGAAGAGCAGTTCAAAGAATCATGGACGAGGCCGGGGGCAGTGGGGCTTGGAGAAGGGGCAGTCGTGGTTGCGAAGGCGAGGATGTAGGAGAGCTATATGTGGCCATTGTCAATTGGGGGTTTAGAGGGATCATTGCCCAGTTTCCCTATTTCGTGGAACTGGAGTAGAATAATAATGGGTGGGAAATAATTTACAATTAGGTCATTTGAGTCATTATGGGCATTGTTTTTTGGGGCCATAATGTTGTATGTCAGCAATCTTTTTCAGCTCTCTTCTGAACTTTTGGTACTAGTGCTGCTTCAAACTCTGTTTATGTTCATTGTAATTTGCTCAAGTATTTGAATAAGTCGCTTTTTATTTTAGCTTAAGTATACATAGTCATATATGCTCACAAAGAATAAGAAATCATCTAAACGTGGTGGAAAAATAATATTAAAGCAGAACAATAGCATAATGCGCAGTTCCACAAGCTTCATCTCCACTTTCAAAACAGAGTCCTGAGAAATAGAAAGAACAGAATGGGAAAAAAAAGGTTGCCGCGCCGCGCCTTGTAAAGACTTGTCATCTTCTGTCACTTTATGCCCTTGCAGTGTATTGAAAGCTTGAAATATACTGATGTGATTACTTTATCCATGGCTTTAGGATTGAGAATATGACGATGATTGCAATGACTAGGAGCAAGATGATGGCTATAGTCATGCACTTTCTTGACGTCTTTTGCAAGTTCTTGGCAGTGTTGAGAGCGTCTGTGCCCATGTTCACATGGTTCACTGCATTAGTCACCTGCACAAAATGGATATACTAAGCGCGGTAGCATCAATCGCTTTTAAGTAGTTTCAATAGCACTTCCCTTCACTTGTAAGCCAGGACTTCAATTTTTTTTTTTGCGAATGTGATCCCATCAAGCCAACAAACCTATTGAGTATATCTTAAATTCTTTATGGGTTTGGGCCAACGTTAGGGGTTAAGGACAACATAACTATTATTTTTCTCAAGTTATTAGGTTAAAAAGTTGAGACAAAAAGAGTCTTTAGTTTTTTAGCCACCTTTTATAATCCTTAAATTTCTATAGTGGATTTTGCTTTTTCTCTCTCCGTGGTTTTTCCCGCAAGAGTTTTCCATATAAATATGTCCGTCTTTTTTTTCTTAGTTTTAATTTCATTATAATTTCCGCATCAGTCATAACAGTTTGGCACATGACTAGTCTCTTTTATCTGAAGAAATAAATAGTCCAAAATTTTAAAAGAACAAAGCAGCTTCATAATGAGTCCGGTCTCTAGCAACAGACACATGAACCATATTATTAACTTCTATCCAACTTTTCCCTGGTTCTTTTAGCTCAAAACTATGCTCCAGCTTCTGAAGAACCTTAGATTTCATGCGCAAGGTAAGGAAATAACCGACGCCGACATTTTGAATTGGGCAAACAGAAAAGTTAAGAAGGCAGGTAGATCATCCCAAATGGAGAGCTTTAAGGTAATAAAACCAGACAACAGCTCGCATTAGAATCGAAATAATCATAATTCAAAGTTTGAAATTTACTTTTCTCTTTTGTCCCTATTAGGACAAGAACCTTTCGACTGGGATTTTCTTTCTTGAGCTTCTTAGTTGTGTGGAGCCAAGGGTGGTCAGCTGGAGTCTTGTCACGAAAGGGGAAACTGGTAGTTCATTCTCATTCTTCATTTAGATATTATATATTTACATTTACATATTGTATTTTGTGAATTTGAATGTTGAAATTGCTATTTTCTCTGGAATAAAAATAACGGAATGGATTACATGAGTTACATTATTCTACTTCATCGACCACACTAGTGTGTTTCCCGTGGACCATGGTAATGATATTTCACGCTTTATCTGCAGATGAGGATGAGAAGTTAAATGCCACATATATAATCAGTGTTGCTAGAAAGCTCCGGTGTTCCAATTCTCGTTACCTGAGGACATTATAGAGGTACTTCCACTTTGATAACTTTAGATATGCAGTTCACATTACTTGTCCAGGAAAAAAGTTGTTCATTTTCAGTACTAGTTATGGTTCAGTATTAATTTTGCTGCTTCTTCTGAAATGGGTCTCTTCCGACTGCCGTCATATGGTTCTTTATTTTTTTGTGCTCGAAAATGATTTGTTGATCATATGACATGACACTACCCTGAAGGTGAGTCATCTGTCTCCCCTTTTCTTTTAGTTCTTCATTAGGTTAGTTTGTAAGCCTCTGGTGGCAACTGGGTTATAAATGCCTCGTTTATTTTCTGACGGTCTGCTTAGAACTCTCAGAATTTCCACAGTACATGATGATAACATTTAAAATGCCTGTTTACAACTTGCTATTAGTTAAGCTTTGATTAAACAGAAGGGCTTCTTTGTTTTTCGCTTCATCATTTAGACAAAGTGGCTGATCTCACTTTGCCTGAAAATTGAAAATTGTCTGCTGATCTTGCTAAGTTTCCCCCGCATTATTTAATATACAGCTGCTTTGGACTTGCCATTTCGAAAAAACTATCGGTTAGCATTTCTTGATGTTATTTTCAATTTGCCATGAGGACAGGTAAACCAGAAGATGATCCTCACTTTAACAGCGAGCATCATGTATTGGAGCCTGCAGCAACAGGCAGGTGAATCAGAGACCGGTGAATCCTCTGATCTAGATGCATCACCAGTGAGTTCTGTAAACAGCGAAAATGACAAAATTCTGGCCAGTGAGAGATTTCCGACTTGTCTGTCAATGATGCTGCTTCAGATGTCACACCTTCCCCACAACTTGGAAAGGATGAATCTTTGCAAGAGGTTGAAAATACAGAACCATCACCTAATAGCGAAAATGGGGTTACCATTGAGGGATCCCCTTCACCTGAAAATGAAAAGGCCTCTGCTCATGTGGAAGGTGGAGGACGTGATACAGAATGATGATAGCTGTGACTATTATTTTCTTCTTCTTGGTTTTTTTCAAAGAGAATCAATTTACAGATGAGTTTTAATTTACACAATAGGAAATGCTCAATTCATTTATACTTGTAAAATGCAGAAGGTGAAGGGGTCCTGTTTGTATCCTGCTCGTGACAATTTTCTTTACATGACTATTCTGATCATGCTGAAGCCATATTTGATGCTTCAGGATCAGTTAGAAATTGAATGAAATTTGTTCCTGCTCTCTCTGTGTATCTGAAGATGACAGTTTGACAGTTCCTTTCCACCTGTATGGAGATGCATCTGTGCTCGGGTAGTCTCTTCATGGAACACTGCTGTTGCTTAGTTAACATGATTGGGAAAAACATTGTTGCATCTTTCAACAGTTTGCATATTCAAGCAACAGTGTCCAACAGCTTTCAATAGTTTGCATTTTCAAGCAACACAGGTAATTGGACACGTAAAAGCGGTTTACAAGGAAGTTAGATGCGCCCACGTGCCTGTGCACACGCGCTTATCTGCACAATAAATAATGAACGTTGATGTCCGCAAAAACTAACTGGAACTTCAAATACTAACCACTCGAGATTCTCAGAGGCCTATACCTCCTTCATTCTCTGCATGCTTACTCATTATATTGTTTTAACAATTATCTCTGCACGTATACACATTTGTAGACATACAAAGCTGTTGAAGCGCTTACATGCCCAATACATACCTAATTGATATAACCACAGACAAATGCGTCATCAAAATTTGTCCAAAGCAGTTCTTGCTCAGGAAATTCAGAAGGAAAATGCAGTTTTCACATTGTAATCTAAAAAGAGTCAAAGATGCAAATAAAAACAACAACTAAAATATCACTCCAGTTACAAAATTTCCACACTATCCGACGTCTTTTATTTATATCATAGAAAAAATGATTACAATCTACATTTCAGTTTTCTATTTGTTTAATGTAAGAGGAGAAAGGAGGATCTTCATTATGCAACACAACCATGATCATCATCATCGCTTAAAGTTTCAGACTTTTCCTGTTTGGCCACAAGCATGAGCATTTCAAGGCGCTTATCAAAGAGCAATGCACTCTCATCTCTCTTGTCTAGTTCAGCAGCTTCAGCTTCAAGCCACTTCTCACGTAGGTCATCTAGCAGATTGGCTTGATCAGTATTTGCCACAGCTCCAGGAGCACTTGGAACCGTGGTTCGATGCGAAGAATCCCCAGAGGGAGGTGGCAAAGTCAATAACATTGCTCGGAACTCACGAGTGTCCGCAAATGTCTCAAAGTTACAAGCGATTGTATCTAGACAATACTCTCGCATCTTCAGAACTCCATACCTACACATCCAGCATAGATGTGAAAAAGAGAACTCTCATCCAAGACTCGGGCCTGTTTAATAAAACTGAAAACCAAGTACTGAAAATATAAAAATTGGATCTTAAGTGCTAATATCTTTAGTGCTGATGATAAAAATAGAACATTATTTAATAATAGCTGAATATAGAGTACTGAATAATGTTTAACACATTACCAAATATGGAATGATGAATATCATTGGTAGGTTTTAGACTTTTAGCAATGTTATAAGCAAGATTTTAATTCCTTTTAAAATGCGTATTTTTATCAAAGTAATTAAGTAACCCCAACTTTACTTAGCAAATTAAGAGATTTTTTTTACTTAATTGAATCCTTTAAATCAAGACTAATTATAATTGTTCAACGTGTTTAATTTTATTAAAGTGCTGAACATATAAATTTTCAACACTTAATAGGACATATCAAACAGGCCTGACTACATAGTTTCAGCCACCTATTCCAGCATTAGGCACATTGCTTTTCTCGTTCATTTTAAACTGACCATGACAAAACATCCTCTTTCACTAGATAGACAATGAAAACCACAAAGGGATTTGAATGATTCAGCAATTTGACTGTTTAAATAGAAAAAAATGCCCAACTATCATGAACTTCAAGATTTATTAGCAATATTCAGGGATTTAACTAGTTAATTAATTGAGTCAATATGCCTTAAACTTGTACATTTCAGTATCTGTGCCTTGACATATATGAAATTATAGAGCAACCAATCAAGGAAATAATTGAATCTGGAGACATATCTGTGCTAAACTTACATGTCTGATAGCATCAACCACTGGCACAATTCAGCTGGCGAGGCCATTTCCAGGTGTGGCAACAATACATCAGCCACAGCACGCTTCAGAGGGAAAAATAGATATCTAGAAGCAGCATCAAACATTTCCTCTGCCTGCAAATTAGTTCAGTGAGTTCCAGCACCACGATATAGGACCATCTACCTTCAATCAACTAGTATATGAAATACCTCATCTGGATCTACTTCCTTTAAACTATCTGTGTACCTGAACCATCAACGAGCATGTATAAGTTTCACTATGGTGAAACTTGAAGCTGAAAATCACTGAGAGAATAAACTCATTCAAGTTAAGAATTTACGCATCATAGTACTCTTAAAGACAAAAAGGGGTCCCAACTCTTAACAGTGCACCAAACTGGACTGGTACTAAAGAAACAGAGCTTATTTGGGGAAGAACTATTGAGACCACTACCAAAAAACCAATCCAAATACTGAATGGATGCAAACAGAGATGCTCCACTGAAATACGTCGCCCGACACTTACATATATTCAATCATTTTCTCAAAAATCTCCATGCTCAAGTCATGTTCTTCAATACATGGAAGTGTGGCTGCAGGCAACATATCTTTCTCATCCTGTAAATCCCTCATATGGGATAATCTTGCTCTAAAATATTCTGACCTCGATGCTAAAACCACCTGATGGCAACGAAAAATCTTTTTATCAACTCTAACGCAAACATCTGCAAGATCGTCTACAAAATCATTTATCTTCAATGCACCAATAGAAGCAACTAAATTATGAACACCATTCTGCATGTTGTGCTCCGAGGAAGAATTGGCAAGGCAAATCTGAAGAATCTGATTCATAGCAGCAGGAAGGCGATCCTCCTCAGGAAGGGACAAACCCTGTAAGATGAATCGCTTTTGAGAGTTATCTGCATCCCTCAATGATTTGTACTCCGCGTACTTTTGATGGATCAATTCCTTCTCAAGAGTTGTTTCCAATGACTCACATTTGCAGACTTTGCAGATCCTAACAAGATCTTCCATGTCCTCTACAGAGATCTCTAGTCTGTCTGAATAGAAAAAGTGAATAAGGCTGTAAAGTGCAGGATACGACAACCTTTCCCTGGAAAATCTGACTTCTCTGCGATCTTTCCAATCTGATTCAAACTTTTTCTTGAAGAATGGTGACCGAGCACTTAAGATAACTCTGTGTGCTTCAATAGGTCTACCATGTATGAAAAATGTTACATCCGGAGGAAAATGGTCATAATTCGAAGCCCCAGAAGAACCAATACCTAATCAACAACCACATCAGGTGTTAGATGGTTACTTCCTTGTAGTGTACTAAGAAACATGATAAATTGATAATTAACCAGCTAAAGTACAGAGCAACTAGAACCACCATGCACAAATAGTTAACTAGCACTATTGCCTATAGATTCTGCACTACGAATCTATAAAGTACAAATACATTAAATGGCACTTTCTCTGTGCAGCACAAATGGATACAGCAACGAAAAGTTTAGTTGTTAAAACAAAATGATAGAGAAAGTTAAGAATTTTACCCAATCAAGATGGAAAAATATGCCCCAAGCACTATGTCCTCCATAGAGTTGGAAATAAAGTTCATGTGCAACACTTTCTTGAAGTTGCAAGAAGTAATAGTCAAACCGTTTTCCATCCTATATTGGCTAATTCATTTTATTATCCCAACTACTACATCCCAGTTTCAGTACTCAACCAATGCATATGCACAATCGAGTAACATTGAGTAGTCAACAAAACTAATGGCTTCCAAGAAAGTGACTATGTCTCAATACTGCCCACGCAAAGGACCCTTCAGCTCAAAATTAATGGATTCCAAAAAGTGACTATCTCAATACTGCCTGCGCCAAGGGCCCTTCAGCTCTCCACAAGGGCAACAACCGAATGGTCAACAATCCACAATCAAAATGCCCGAGTTCTACATTTATCATGAACTGCAGCAAACTTCCTAATACCCATCCCACAGAACGCAAAATTCTCCTGAACTATCAGCCACTCATTGTCCCACATAGCATTTAGGCAAACCGTCATCTGATGAACACAACACATTCCTGGTTAAAATACCTTTACCAGTAAAGTCAGGCAACTCTACCTATGAAGGATACTTTCAACAGAACGATATCACAGATGACCAATTCATCAAATGCAATATCCCAATAACAGACCAACTTCAAATTTCCTACTGTAATTCTAAATGAAATAAAAGTACTTGACCGTACCTGCAACTTGGACCAGAACCCGAGATTACTCAAAAAACCTTCAATTGCCAAGTCAAGCATCATAAAGCTCGAACCAGACTTTAAATAGGTAATGAATCCACTCAAACTCGATTCATACTTGATAAGAATTGACTCAAGTTCGATCATTTGACTCGAGTTCGATGATCAAGCGAATATCTCAACTTACGGACACCAAAAACACATCAATCACACTAAAAACACTTTGAAAAGCACCTGTTCCCGGGAAATGATTCTCCGATTGCTCCAAGAACGCTCGATTCGCCTCGCAATTCAAGAACGTCTCCCTCAAATCCCCCTGCAGCGGCCCGAGCGGCGGCGGCCTCGCCTCGAATGCCTTCAGCAGCTTCCTCACCTTCAAGTTGAGCGCCGCGT